AGACCTATAATTGAAAATAATATAGTCAGTCTTGGAAGTGAAGGAGCTGCAGAGTATTTTATGTGCTTATTACTCAAGTTGGAAGTGCAGAGCTATTTGTAGCAAATATTTCCTATACTGTGCCAAGGCATAGTGATCATTGAGCATAATAAGGAACACTTAAGAACCAGCTTTTATTTTTTACCTAAAAATTTTCAATATCATAATATGTATGAAATTTAAGGGTTGCAATAAATTTTTCTAAAAAACCTCCTTTCCAAATATATCATCTTAAATAAAATTAAAATAATCCAAACAGTGATGATAGACTTGAGTAAAAACCAAAGAAAAGTAAACTAGAAGATGGAAAGTTATAATTTTGATTTCTTAATTATCTGATAGCATTAATTATGGCTTGGTGAAAGTTAAGAACAAAGATCTGTCTGCCACAAAAGACCTACATATATTCATTTCTGATAAAATGCTAAAATTGACTGGTAAACATTTCATCTCCAATCCCATTTGTCACTTTCCTGGGTAATTTTGTAGTGCTATAACTCTAAGAAGATGGTAAGATAAAAAAAAAAAAAAGTGGGCACAAATTCTAAACTAAATTAAAAATACTAATTTAGGTTCCTAGATGTGAAGTTGGATGGCTAAAATCTTCTGCACTGATCCTTTTAAAGACAAGGTATATAATTATTTGTGGAACAGAAATAGCTTATTGATAGCAAGGGACAGAGGTCCAGCCCTCTGCCTCATGGTAACCACATGTGTTTATCAGCTCATGGTAAAATGATACAGGACATGTCTACCACACAGGCAAACAGGAATCAAATGAGATTCCTCAGCAGAGACATAAGAAAATCTTACAAAAAGATTATGAAAAAGGATAATCTCTCAATCTGCAGCTAAAAGTATCTCCAGAATATCAAATCAGCAAATTTAGTCAAAACTTTAGTAAAATTGGCTGAAAGCCCAGTTGATACTAAAGACTGAACAGGATTTTTCCCATTGACACTAGTTGTTTAGATCCATGGAGATGTTAGTATTTCAACATTACAAATTTAGCACACGCACACACACACATACATAACCAAACTCACCACCTTCACTGAAAGGTGACTAACTGACCTATCTCCTACAGCAATTATAAACTTTCCATCCCTTGAAATTACACAGTTCCACACACATAATATTTGTCCTGAAGAACAACACATTACTGTCATTAGGTGGTTATAATTACATATGATTTTACATCAGTGACCAAAATATTACTTGTACCTTTCTATCAGTAGGTGTTATTACTCCAGAAATACTGTGGGAAGTAAAAAAGAAAACTCAACTTGAAGCATGTTTATTCTTGAATGGATTGGGCTCACCTGGCTTCAGGATGGGGTGGGACAAGGGTGATAATGAATGGGATGGGAGTGGCATTTATGGAGCTTAAAGGTCTTCTGACTGCAGCAACAGAGAATGAAAAGACTAAAGCAATTCATAATCTTAAACTGCTTTAAATGTTCCAGTACATAAAAATGAGTATATCACCTTGGGACTGGTGATTATAGTTTCAAACAAATAAGAATCAATAGACTTGGTCAAGAGAACAGAATCCCATGGTATGTTATCCTAAATGCTTATCGTCAGATTTCATTATATTTTCCAATACAAAGATAAAAACAATTACAGAATCATAGAAATTTCCAAAAATGGAAAGAATTCTAGAGATTAGTCTAACTTCTTGGTGTGTGCATGAGAAAACTGGGACATCAGAATTACAGTACCAAAATTGCGATCTAAATTTTTATTTTTAAATTTGATATAGAGACATATCAAGGATGCAATAATTGCTCAAGAGGTTGCTGGTACTCTAAAATAAGAGAATAAGCAGCTGAAGCAGCCTGTAAGTTTATCTTCTAAAGTAATTGGAACTGTTATTTAGAGTGTTCAAATATTTGAATGTGAGAACTGCAGTAGTAGTTCATGATATATTGTTGTTTTGGCCTTACACCTGAAGATAGGGAATATACTTCCAGTGACATTATAAGTATTCCATATGAATTCACACATGACAGAAACATAGCTACAAAAAATATGACAGCCATTATCAGGAAGCCAATTGCCTGTTTCCCAAGCATAAGCACAACATTTATAATTATTGAATAAAGACAGATGTTTAAAATAAGCTGAAATTTAGATAAATGAGACAATGATTGTTAATACCTACAGCCATATAGGAAAAGCTATGATATCTACATAAATAACATTAAAATAGATTTTTTTTTTGCCCAAAAAGTCACTTATGTTAACCTGAAATTCCTAAGTAGTAAAAGAAAATCAAGGAGCTTTTTAGGGTATCTATGCAAAGTATTAAAATATTTCTATACTGATATATTTATGAGCAGTTTAAGAAACTTATTGGATCCAAGCAAGATTGAATCTACAATTTTATTGATGTCCTCCAAATAATGGTAAAAAAAAAAAAAAAACACTGAATAAAATAGCATTATACTGACATTATCACAGAAAACGACTTTCTGAGTGGTTTAGCCCAAAGTAAAACGGTGGGGCTTAGGTTGGGTGGCTGAGGGGGCATACATAACACAGGAGAGGTGGCACAATGTAGAGACCGAAATAGTCCTTATAGTACTAAATCAATTCTTCTTTAGTACAGACCTTGACTTAATTAATTTTTCTTGATATTGAGAGGCTAAAAGAATTTTAGAATCACCTGCAAGAAAATTTTGTGATATGGAGAAATTTTCTGAGAAGCAACGCTATTCAACTATCAGGATAAGAGAAAAGGGAGGCCTTGTTAACTACTTCTGGCTTTAAACAAGAAAAATAAACAAACTAGTTCTTTAAATAAAGTCTTTCTAATCACCAGTCACTGCTATAAAGCAGATCATTTTCTCCCCCAAACAGCAAAATATGTGGGATTAGAACATTTATATATTAAAAATATTAATGATTATACTTCTAAGCAACAGAGACAGAAATGCTACTACTAGTTAATTCAGGTACTCTAAATTATAATACTTAGTCATAAAGTATACATCTAACATCTAAAATGATAAAATTTTAGTAATTTTGATGGCAAAGTTTTAGCATTGCTCAGCATTCATGATGTTACTGATCTTAAAAAAGCAATTTAAAACATAAAAGATACAAAACATGCTTAGTATATTTTAATAACAATTAACTTAATAAATGTTTTAAATCAGAAGTGTTTCATGATTACAAAAAAAAAAATTTCTTCCCCAAACCATTGCTGTAAAATCTTTTATCTAATTATGAGAGATGCTATAATGTGAAATCCATACAAACTAATAAATCCTCCAAAAATTTCAATCCCATCTTCCACTTTGATCTTCTAGACAGCGGGGCAAGGGGTTCTTGAGGGTTCGTAACAACATTGCTGTTTGTCATAAGGAATCATATTTTGCAGTTTCACAGGGGAGTGGGAGAAATGGGGTAAATGGCATGGTGAGGAAGAGGGTTTTATTCACAATTAAAACTGTGAAATGCTAAACTCCATCATGAAGACAAATAGGAAAGTACAACTTCATTGTTGAAAACAATTTCCCTCCTATCAGTCCAAGGATTCATGCATCAATATTGTAGATGAACTGTTAATTACAAAATCAATTAAAAATTATTTCTAAAAACAGTCACGCGCCCCTGGCTCTCATGGGGGCAATTTGGGCAGAAGGTCTCATCTCACTAGGACCGCGCCAAATCAAAGTCGTCATCCACAAGTAAGCAAAAGCAATCTGGTTTTTCATTTTTCAGCGCGGCTGAGCCCAGCCTGAGATTGATCGTCACATATGGCCCCAGAAAACAAACTGTCAATACCTTGAATGCTGCAGAATTTGAACAAATAGCCGTCTGCCCATTCAAGCCACTCACTGCATCCCATTTAACAGATTTTATTGACAGTTTCCTTCTTGTAATTAAAGGGAAAACTACTGGCCAGCAACCAAGATAAAGTTCAAAGATAGGGTCAAAACAAAAGCAGATGGAGGTGCACGGTGTGACTGTCAATGGTACATAGCATCAGAGCATGTTATTGACACACAGGTATCTAATGATAGGCACGTCATTAAGGAGGGATCTATCGTGAACTTTATGCAAATGCTAAGAGACTTAAGATCACAATTAAAGCGTTAGGAGAGGCACAAAGGGAAAAACAAGAAAGCACCAACGATTTTTACTTATCAAAGGTTGCTCTCTATTTTAGCACATTTAAGTTCAAATGTAGAAAACATTTATTCCCATAATTCTTAACCCTTACTGAGTAGGTAGTACCTTCGGGGGAAATACTCCTTCAGCAGAATTTGACTTGTAAAGAATTCCAGAATGTAAGGAAACAGGAGTATTCATTGATAACCAAAATTAAAAGCAACACTAAACATATTTTCCCAATTGCAAAAATTGCATTTTTGAGGGGAAAGTGGTTTGTATGTATCCATGGTTTGCTTATTTTGACTTGTGCAAAAAAAGGCAATAAAGCTAATTTTTTCCCTAGAGTGTCCATTTGCACTACTTCTACAAGAGCTTTTGTTTTCCTATGTTCCAAATTAGTACATGCATTAGGTGTAAAAGTTTCACAGCTTTCAATATGCAAGTGAAATGAAAATAATCCCCTTTAAATGTATTTTTCTTATTTCTAACTTTTCTAGAAAGCCATACTAATTATAATTTTGCTGACTCACACAGAATGTACAAACTAGGTCTAGTAAATCCCTGAAGAAGAAGTTAAGGGGTAAAACTGACATATTAAAAAATGTAACAATGACTATGTCAATATGCCAACCTGAATTAGCAAGTGCTATAGCTTTGAGGGTGACAAATTCTTCTTTCTCCAGCTTCATGCTCTTGTATTTCTTTACCAGCTGCAGGATAGCATTATTTAGGTCAAGAAGGCCTGCTAATTTGGACTGGTCTTCGTCCATTATATAATCGTCTGCATAGACAAGTTCATCCTCAAACGAAAGAGATCGGTATACAACACCAAGGATCAAAATTTCCATCCAAGCACTCTGCAGAAGGCTCATCTGGTCCGCCAGGGACAGCGTGGAGAAGCCTGCATGGGAAGATGGGCAGATCAAGTTACTTTAAAGCCATAATTTCATAATGCAACATTAGTTTCATATGGTAGTCCACTTCTGCATCAGAGCTCAAAATGATGCTGAGCTTTGATGAGAAGCTCTTAAAATTTTCCCCTGATCACTTTGTGAACATAGTAAAAGTCACAAACCAGCTTCAATTTGTTGGTGTTTTCTGTACGTTTTACAGACACAGTTAAGGGGAATATGATAGAGACGTAGTTTTCTTTCTTTCATTTGAGAAGAAAATACCATGTGATCTTTAAGCATACTTGATTTCTGGTTCAAGTCTTTAGGAACGTGTTACAGAAAGTCAGATTTTCAATGACCTCATCTCTAAAAAACTACTATTGATAAACAACAGAAAAGTTAACAAAAATGAAAATAAAGTAAAACTGACAAACAATTTAGGCGACACAGCAAAGTACAACTTGGAATCATTTCTCTATAACAGTCACAAGCACAGTGCATGATGAGTTACAACCAGAGGAGCCTTAATGGGCTATTTTGCTCCCACTGATATTTAACATAAATTTATTTTTAAAATGATGATTATTGGTTTAATACTTAGCAGCCTGGCCTCCTCACAAAACAGAAAAAGTCACAATTCATTCTTGTTACTAAGATCCAGTTATTTAAAAAATTAAATGTAAAGGTGATGGGGTTTGGTGGAAAGGATATGAATAGAGCCAGAGCTTACCAGCTTCAATTTGTTGGTGTTTTCTGTACGTTTTACAGACACAGTTAAGAGGAATATGATAGAGACGTAGTTTTCTTTCTTTCATTTGAGAAGAAAATACCATGTGATCTT